GAGAGAGAGAGAGAGAGAGAGAGAGAGAGAGAGAGAGAGAGAGAGACAGAGGGACAGAGAGAGAGCGAGAGAGGAGAGAGAGAGACAGAGAGAGAGACAGACAGAGACAGAGAGAGACAGAGAGAGAGACTGAGAGGAGAGAGAGACAGAGAGACAGCTGGGGCGGTGGCGTGTGGTGTTGCAGGACTCGGGTCCCGTGCTGTGAAGAAAGGATGGAGTGCGGGCCGTGGACGCTCGTGCGGTCTGGCGATAACAACATGAGAGTGTATCACGTCATGTATGACATCACGAACAATGAATGGGTGTCGTACAAAAGCACTTGAGTGGCGCCGTATGGCGTCGTGCATGAAATCACGCCACGTACAATGAACGGTCGTTCCAAAAGCGCAGCATGAAGCACAGCATGTTTTTGGTTCTGTGTGCACGACGCAGCAAGGCAGACCGGAAGTGCTGTCGCGAGTGATGCAGATGCGATGAATCGGGGCACCACCCAGCGCGTGCACCGTGTCGTCTGCGTTCGCGTGTTCCGTGGGTTCAACAATCATTGGTCACGTAGCGGCCTGTTCTGATGAAGTACACTGCAAGGCGTTGGATGTTGGACTACAGACCACGCCACCCCGAACTAAGAACCAAGGCGTTGGGGCTATTGTTCAGGCCCAAAAAGAGGGAGACTACAGAACAAGTTGACCGCTGCACAGGGTCTTTGGGAATCCTACACGAGGGTCTTACTACTCGAAGTTGGGTAGTCCACCCTACATCAGCAGTCACGAGCTTCGCGTCAACTTTGGCGTTCTTCGGGCGTGTTTTCGGCGAGCGTCGAAGGGTTACGGTCGCTGGTCACATTCACTGCTGTTGGTTTGGCCGTCTCTCGATGGTCACCAGGCATTGCTCTCGGAATTGAACTCCAACATACAGAATGCATGATTCACGTGCGCCCGCGCGCGCCTCGCTGTTCCCTTCTCCCCCTCCTCCTTTGCGCCCCCCGCTGCCCTCCTCGTCTCTCGACCATTGCGACAGTCCTTCTGGGATCCCGGCCATCGTAGACCTTGGGTCAGCCTTCACAATAGCTAATTGGCCCGCGGGCAGGCTAGCGGGGCTAGAACCTCACGGTCCAAACGTCAGATACAATGGGCAGGTAGGCCAGCAACTTACTGCTGTGGCGGGATGGCGTACTCTTATGTTATGCATGCCTTAGCGGTTTCGCCATTGGGGGGGTGGTGATGCAATGCAATGTTCTTGCGCAGGATGAATTTGTGTGTGTGTGTTTTCACGACTACAGTGTACGACGCAGGGTCACAGCGCTCGAGCGCCGGTGATTCTGTGCCTTTGCCTACTGCTTGGCTGGTCGTCCTTTCAATATTCTGTTGGTCGCTGCCGATGAATCCCGGACTTTTTTTGCGAAAAGGTACTGACATCGACAACGCACTTCGCCTTCAACACCAACCAAGCGTGCGAATCCCTCAAGAGATGGTTTTCATTTGTTGAGGCGGTGTTGTCGCCGCTGTCCTTATGCAGGATGATGCGTGACGGCCAGTGTTGAGGGGTTGTCGCGAAAGCGATAAACAAGGATTGCTTTTTGAGACAGACAGCGATATTGACAAGGGTGCAGCTGTTCTGTCGGCGTGCTTCACCCAGGCTATCCCGTCAACCAGAAAAGCGCGCAAGCACATGATTTTGGTGCTGATGCTCCTTCTCTGTGCCGTTCGTCCATCTCTTCTGCCCCGTTATGTCGTCATGTTGATGTCGACGTTTTACGTCGATTCAGGTGGTCGCTGGTGCTGCTGCTCCGGGGGAGGTGTACAAGCCCGTCGAGGTGGGGTTGTTTAGCTTCATGTTGTCGGCTTGCTTTTCTTGTTGAAATCCCGCACAGACGATTGTAAGCATTTCCTTTCCCCTTCCCATATAATCGAAAACCTGTGTGATGCAAGTACAGCAGCCCCTTTCCATTGCATTGAAAGCCGTTCTTAACCTGTATGATGCATCCCTCCGATTTTCAGGGTAATGAGCTCGCCCCAAAACAAAGCACAAGTGAAAATTGAAGCGGGGTGGCTTGGCGTAGCCCCCTTGCCCGAACAGAGGCGATTCTTCCCATACCAACCTAAGAAGCTCAGAGAGACGGAGAGGTAATGCAACAAAGGCTCCCCTCCCCCAAGAAAATGGATTCTATTGATAAGTTGATCCACGCGGAACACTTGGAAATAGTTGCCAAGGTTATGAAGAACTGCCCAGCGCAAGAAACAACGGCTTTGTTAAAGGGGCCTTCTTCTACCTGGCTCGAGCATCTTCCTTGTCACAGAATACGAGATTTTTTTTTTTCAAGGACGGATGCAAAAAAGTGGTGTCTTGTGGCGAACCATGTAGTGGAGGCCAGCAGGTTTCCTTGAGTCTTAACCCCCGACGACCTCGATCCACAGTAATGATGACACCGTGGAGGTCGGTTCATTTACGGGTGACGGGTGACGGTCATGTGGTGGGCGTGGGCGGGGTCAGCGTGGGTTTTTACGAGCCAATGTTCTAGGAGTTTTAAGCTTCCAGGGGTGCGACCCCCCCCCCCCCCCCCCCC